GGGGTGCAGAACTCAAATTCTAGTAAGAAGACCAGACTTAATGGTTTGACTAAAACTGGAGGGACCCTGGAAGACATGGCCCCCGGACTCTCTGTTAGCCCAAAACTAAAACCACTCCCGAGGCCAACTCTTCAGACAAAGATTAGACGGGACTATGGGACATAAAATGATACTCATGAAGAGTGCGTTTCTTAGCACAAGTAGATACATGAGACTAAATGGGCAGCTCCTGTCTGGAGGTGCGATGGGAAGGCAGACAGAGTCAGGACCTGGTTGAATGGACACAGCAAATCCAGGGTGGAAAGAAGGAGTGTGTTGTCACAGTATAAGGAGAACAACTAGGGTCACATAACAGTGTATGTATAAATTTTTGTATGAGAGACTAATTTGAATTGTAAACTTTCACTTAAAGCACAACAATTAAAAAAAACCCTACGTTTCAGAAAAATCCCTGGGGCTGCCCAGTGGAGATGACTGCCAGGAGTGAGAGGAAGCCAGGGAGGAGGACAGGTAGGGCCCGGCAGGAGAGAGCAGGGCTGGACCAGCCTGTGGGAAGGGGAGAGGGTCAGGCGGGAGAGATGCTCAGGTGGCCGAGTGGTCAGATCGTGGAGAATGACCGGGGAAGGAGGTGTGCCCGAGGTGGGGACAGGAAGGAGGAGGAGGAACCAGTGTCACTGGAGACACTGAGGCCAATTTGGGATGACCATGAGGGGCTTAGGGGACATTTGAAGGGAGACACCCAGGAGGCCATGGTCAGGACTGGAGGTTAAAAAAGTTGAGGTACAGGGGCAGGGGCTGATGCCACAATGGTGAGGGAGGGAGGATGTAAGGGTGTAGGGGGCAGGGCTGGGACTCAGCCCTGAGGAACTCTGGCATTTTAGGGTCAGTCAGTTAAATGCTGTCTGGGCGGCGGGGTGGGCAGACTTGGAAGAAGGGTGTTTGGGACCTGGTGGCCTTGGTGGAGTGGAGTCAGCTGCATGAATCAGGCAAGTGACTTCAGCTCTTTGGGCCTCAGTTTCCCCATCTGGAAAATGGGGATGGATAACGGCACCTACCTCACAGGTTTGCTGTGGGGATGAAGAGGTGATAGATGTAAATGCCCAGCACACGGGACGTGTGGGACCCGGGCTCAGCAAGAGGCGGGGGACCCCTCCTCCCAGCCTGCTGGCCTCACCCCAACAACAGCTGTCCAGGAAGCCAGTCAGGATGGGGACTTCCGAGGGGAGGACCGCAGGGCCCCACCCGACCTCTGGCCTCCAACCCACCTCCTCTCGGCTTGCAGAGCGGGTGCATGAGGAGCTGACGCGGGAGCTGGGGGCCGGCCAGGTACCAAGCCTGGGGGACCGTCCCCGCCTCCCCTACACGGATGCGGTTCTCCACGAGGTGCAGCGGCTGCTGGCACTTATACCCATGGGCGTGCCCCGTGCCCTCACGCAGACCACCTGCTTCCGAGGCTACACCCTCCCTGAGGTGGGTATGCAGGACCGCCACCCGGCCACAGCCAGGTTATCTCTGCCTCAGTGCCTGGGTCTGTTTCTGAATCTTGTTTCTCTTTCTCTCTCATGGATGTGTGTATCCATCTCTTTCTCTGTTCTCCTTCCTGTTTGTTCAAACTCCGTGACTGGCAAACCGCAAGGGTGTTTTTCACTCTGTTACTTTCCGTATGCATTTCTCTGGCCCTTTGATGCTGTCTCTGGGCTTCAGTTACCCCCAACCAGGATCCTACAAGGTAGTTGGGACAATCTGATGAGGTGACAGACAAGGAAACCATTTGAGAAATGAGGAGTGAGTCCGGAGCTGGCAAGGGCCGTCTCAGCCCCTGCCGCAGGCACACGCCCATGCACTCGGCATCACACACTCTTTCCCTCCCTCTTCATTCGAGGAGCAACTCAGACCTAGCACCACCAGGGGGCGATGTTTCCCCAGAAACTTGAGGCAACTCAGCGTGCCTGCTCTCTCTTTGAACTTCACTGTGAAATCAAACCTGCCGTTAGAACTCTGCTGAATTCTAACCGGGACCTTGGGCAAATCGCTTCACCCTCTGAGCTACAATTTCCTCCTCTCTAAATTGGGGGCAATAAAAGTGTTAACTTGGGGTTGTAGGGAATCGACAGGATAATGCTTGCAAAGCGCCCATTCAGCTCTTGGGGAGGGCCTGTGTTCAAGGCAGCATTGATAGTGGAGACAATAATAATAATGATTAGAATTAATAATATTTATTATTAATAATAATAAATTAATAGTAATTGCAGACCTGCCCTGTGCTGGGTGCTATGCTAAATACTTTGCATATATGTATTAGCTTTTTTAATCTCCAAGGCAATTCCACACCATTATCGTGCCCATTTTACAGATGAGGAAACTGAGGCTTGGGAAGTATAGAAAACTTGCCCAAGTCACCCAGCATGCAAACAGTGGAGGCAAGATTTGAACTACACCATCTGCCCCTGTCTTACTTTACCAGCATTAACATGGCCCATCTTGCCCTGAGTCCCCTTCACCTCCTCATCTTGGACCCCTGTTGGCCGGAGTCCTTCGCGCAGGGTCTCTCCCCCTCCTCCTATGCACCTCGCTTCTTCATTTTCCACCACACAGTCCTGGGCATGTGATAGCTTTGATCTTTGTTGATCTCCCCAATCCCGGGCAGAGGGAGCCTTCAGGGACAGCCCTCACCCACTCACCCTTGCCACCATCACCAAAAGATCATAGTAGCAAAAAGCTAGACTCTGAGCCAGGTGGCTTAGGGCAGTATAGCTGAATCACACATATTCCAGAGTTTAAAATCAATATAAAAGTATCAAGCTCTGCCATATCCGAACAGTTACCTGGGCAAGTTGCTTAAATTCTCTGGGCCTGTTTTCCCATCTTTAAAATGGGGATAATATTAGCACTTATCTCCTAAGCTTGTTAAATGTTCAGTCGGGTGTGGGGAGAGGGGCAGTGTAAAGTACGTCTCTGTTACTGAAACCAAAAAGCAAACCCACTGCCATCGAGTCGATTCCAACTCATAGAGACCCTATAGGACAGTAGAACTGCCCCATAGGGTTTCCAAGGCTGTAAATCTTTACGGAAGCAGACTGCCACATCTTTCTTCTTTGGAGGAGCTAGTGGGTTCAAACTGCTGGTCTTCCCGTTAGAAGCCAAGCACTTTAACCACTGGGCCATCAGGGCTCCAGCCCATAATAAGCACTCTAGAAATTATGTGGCTGTCATATTTTGTGAAGTGGCGTCCCTTATACTCCAGACTCTTGCTCCACACCTGGGCACTGAGTTTGCTAGGGTGGAGAGGGACATTCACAGTTTTGTTTTTGTTCCCCTCAGGGCACTGAGGTCTTCCCCCTCATAGGCTCTGTCCTGCATGACCCTGAGTTCTTCGAGCGGCCGGAGGAGTTCAACCCAGGCCGTTTCCTGGATGAGGACGGACAGTTCAAGAAGCATGAGGCGTTCCTGCCTTTCTCTTTAGGTATCTACTGGGCCCTGTCCCAGCCACTGCTCACTGGCTGGTCCAGGCTGGCTCTGGGTGTCTGTACCAGCTGGGCCCCCCGCCACCCACCCAACGCCCTGGTTCACCATTCCTTCCCCCTGGGCTCTGGTGTGTGGAGGGCTGGCTCAGCCTCATCTCCCTCTTCTTGCTAGGCAAGCGTGTCTGCCTCGGAGAGGGCCTGGTGCGGGCTGAACTCTTCCTCCTCTTCACTGCCATCCTGCAGACCTTCTCCCTGGAGAGCCCGTGCCCGCCGAGCGCCCTGAGCCTACAGCCAGCCATCAGCGGCTTTGCCAACATCCCCCCGGCCTTCCAGCTGCTGGTCCGGTCCCGCTAACCCCACTCCTCTCGAGAGGACCAGAGGAAGGAGGGAGCCTTGGGAGGTGGTGACTGCCAAGGACTGTGCCCCCGGTCTTGATGGTGGATGTGGACACAGTTGTGTCTCCGGAGCCCCAGGTCCACACCACAGGCAGCTGCACTCAGCTCACGCCACCATCAAGACACGAGACCACACAGCCATGCACTTGGCCACACAGCATTCAACAGACATAAAGTCAGTCCACCTGGATTCACACTCACATGCCCAGATAACCCACCAGCTCATACGTACATAACTGCCCCAGACACACACCCTCATCATTCAGCAAACCTGCTGAGTGCCCACAGCCTCCAGGAGCCTGGCACAGGAAAGAACAACGTGCCCCTGTCACCAGATCATGTCACCACACAGAGAGACCACCCCTCTCCGCAGCCCACCACTATCCAGACATGTGACCTCTGTCCATGCTCCCCAGCCCATAACTACGCTCCCCAGCCCCGTCCACAGTCCCCAGCCTCCATCCACACTCCCCAACGTTGGAGCCACACAGCAGGCCCACACACGACACCGCACACCTTCAGCACCCAAGGACGCCCCTTTCCAAGCACCCTGACCCCCCAGTTCTCCCAAGCACAAGCACATCCCTCATGTACAGTTGGGCACACAGACCTGGGAAGTAAACTCGGGCATGCGAGGACCCTCAGACCAAAGGAGCACCCTTCTCTGCCCCTACTTATGTAACCATGTAGAAAGCCTCCCTCAGCCCTCTCTCCTCAACCCCACACAGTGGTTAGGAGCTGTATGAGCTCTAAGGTTTTACTCTCCTTCAAAATCCCAATTAGACCCAGGAGGAGGGACTCCACAGGCCAAGTAGGGGCCAGATCCCAACCCCCAGCCTCCTAGTGTCAGGGAGGAGGCCAGGTCTGGCATCCCTTGTGGCTTAAAGGTCCCCGTTTTGCAATAAAAATTGGTTTCTGGCCTGTGGCAGGACCTAGGGTGGGTTTGTGACTGTATCTGTCACTGTGAGTTTGGGGGGGGTTGGGGGAGTCCACTCCTCCCAGCCCCCTCCCTTGAGGCTGGGCGGGAGCTAAAAAACATGGCCCCCGCCTATCCTGGCTGTTGACATCAGCACCAGATGTGGAGCAGAGTGCTGGGCCAGGCAGGGGAGGGAGGGAGCTTGGCGGGGCCTTCTGTCCTGAGCCAAGGTGGGGGACACAGGACCGGGAGAGGGTCCCCTTAACGTAGGCCTGGGGGCTGCCTCTGCAGCCAGGGATAGCCCAAGGCCAGGAAGCCCTGGGGACTCGCCAGATCTGAAACTGAATACTTAAACACAGACCCTAGCTCATGCACTGCTTCAGCCTCTTCCTTCACCCTCTCCTCCCCACCTTCTCTGCAAAGGAAGGCAGAAGCGTCATTTTCTTTGTTGGGAGGGAAGTCTGCAAATACACAGAAGTAGAGAGGACAGTAGAAGGAACTCGCCTTCCCCCAGGTGCTCACCACCCGGCCTCAATATCGCCATCAACTTTCTGCTGTTTTTATTTCATCTCCTGTTTTTTAGATTATTTTAAAGCAAATCCCAGAAGGTAACTGAATATGCACCTCCAGTGGTTCTGGACATTTTTTTCTCCTAACATTTTATTGTGAACATTTTCAAGCACACAGCAAAATTGAAGGCTCTGTACCGGGATCGAACACCCAGGTGTCACCTCCGGGATCGCACGCCCTTCCTCCTGGACAGTTTGCTGCGCTACGTTAGCACGTTTCTGTCCACCTGTCTGTCCATCTCATTTTATGCATTTAAAAGTAAATTGCTCATAACCAAACATCTCGCTAGATGAAGCTCCCAGGCTCGAAGGCGAGGGACCATAGACTCAGGGGACATCTATGTCAATTGGCACAACATAGTTCATAAAGACAAAGTTCTGCATCCTACTTCGGTGAGTAGCATCTAGGGTCTTAAAAGCTCGCAAGTGGCCATCTAAGATACAACTATTGGTCTCTTACATCCGGAACAAAGGAGAATTAAGAAAACCAAAGACCCGAGGGAGCAGTTAGTCCAAAAGACCAATGGATCACAGGAACCACAGCCTATATGACCCTGAGAACAGAAAAACCCAATAGCGCCCAGCTACCACTACCTCCCACTCTGACTGGGATCACAACGGAGGGCCCCGGACAGAGCAGGAGAAAAACTGCAGGACGAAAATTCAAATTCTCAAAAAACACCAGACTTACTGGTCTGAGAGAGACTAGAGGAACCCCCAAGGCTATGGCCCTAAGACACCCTTCTGAACTGGAACTGAAGCCATTTCTGGAGACCACCTTTCAGCTAAACCACAGACAAGTGTATACAATAGACAGTAACACCTGAAAGGAATGCGCTCCTTAAAACAATCAATTATATGAGATCAAAAGGGCAACATTTGCCCAAAAGCAAAGATGAGAAGGCAGGAAGGGGTAGAGAATCCGGATTAAAGGAAATCGGGAATCTAGGACTGAAATGGGGAGAGTGCTGACACATTGTGAGGAATGCAACCAATGTCATGGAACACTATGTACAAATTATCGAATGGAAAACTAATTTGCTCTGTAAACCCTCACCTAAAGCACAATTTAAAAAAAAAAAGTAATTTGCAGGCATCAATCCATCTTCCCCTAAATACTTCACTAATATGCACACCAGTAGCTAAAAATTTACTTTTAAACTATTAATACCATCTTCACACCTATCACAGTGAACAGATCTAGAATGTCAAATACCAGCCAGTGTTGTTCACATTTTCCTGATAAGTCTCATAAATGTATTTTATACTTGATTTGTTCACATCAGGTCCCTCGACCACTAATCCGAAAGATTGGTGGTTCAAACCCACCCAGTGGCACTGCGGAAGAAAGGCCTGGCAATCCGCTTCCATAAAGATCAAAATCAAACCTGTTGCCATGAAGTTGATTCCAAATCACGGTGACCTCATGTGTTTCTGAGTGGAACCGTGCTCCACAGGGTATTCAATGGCTGAGTAGTTGAGCGCAAACGGTTTGCGCTACCCAGGGACCTTCCATAATGGTTACACCCAAGAAAACCCTATGGAGCATTTCTACTCTGTAACACACTGGGTCACCACCAATCAGAGCCGACTTGACGGCAGCGAGTTTGGTTGAGGCTCCAAAGAAGGTCCATCCCCCACTGCCTTCGTTTGCAATGTCTTTTAGGGTTTTTAAAATCTGTAACAGTTCCCTATTCTTTTTTATGCCATTTTTTCCTTGAAGTTTTTAAGGATTTCATTTTACTTGGATCCACAATCAAAGCCCGTGGAAGCAGCAGTCAAGAAATCAATGTATTGCAAAAAGCGAAGATGTCGTTTTGAGGACTAAGGTGCACCTGACCCAAGCCATGGTATTTTCAATCGCCTCATATGCACGCGAAGGCTGGGCAATGAATAAGGAAGACCGAAGAAAAATTGATGCCTTTGAATTAAGATGCTGGCGAAGAATATTGAATATATCACAGACTACCAGAAGAACAAACACATCTGTCTTGGAAGAAGCACAGCCAGAGTGCTTCTTAGAAGCAAGGACGCCGAGACTTCATCTCACATACTTTGGACGTGTTATCAGGAGGGCTCAGTCCCTGGAGAAGGACATCATGCTTGGTCAAGTAGAGGGTCACTGAAAAAGAGGAAGACCCTCAATGAGATGGATTGACACAGTGGCTGCAACAATGGGCTCAAACATAGCAAGGATTGTGAGGATAGCGCAGGACTGGGCAGTGTTTCATTCTGTTGTACATGGGGTGGCTAACCAGGTCATTTGTCCTGTACAGTTTCTCCTATCCTGAGTTGGCTGGTGACACTTTGTGATACTGTTTAAGATGTCGTTCAGTCTCCAGGATTGCCTGTAACCTGGGAATTAGAAGGGATTTGGGCTCATTCTGGTAAGAACTCACAGTAGGTGCTGGGTGCCTTCTTGTCCCATCGCAATGCAGTAAGTGATGTTTAGTAATGTTTAAGATTGGGATGTCCACACCACTACCACAGCGCCACCAGAATGAGTCCAGCACAATTAGATGGTGCCCGGCCACCACCACCAACTGCTCTGACAGGGATCACAACAGAGGGTCCCCAACAGAGCTGGAGAAAATGTAGAACAAAATTCAAACTCACAAAACAAAAAGAGAGAGACCAGACTTACTGGTCTGACAGAAACCAGAGAAACCCCAAGAGTATGGCCCCAGACACCCTTATAGCTCGGTACTGAAGTCACTCCTGAGGTTCACCCTTCAGCCAAAGATTAGACAGGCCCATAAAATAAAACAAGACTAAATGGGCACACCAGCCCAGGGACAAGGACTACAAGGCAGGAGGGGACAGGAAAGCTGGTAATAGGGAACCCAAGGTGGAGAAGGGAGAGTGTTTTCATGTCATGGGGTTGGCAACAATGACACAAAACAGTATGTGTATTAACTGTTTAATGAGAAACTAGTTTGCTCTGTAAAACTTCACCTAAAGTACAATTAAAATAAAAATAAAAGACGTACCAAAAAAAAAACAATATTGGGGGTCCAGGTCCTGATCCCTTCATTAGAAAGTTCTCCATCAACCTTTCACTTTCTGGCCTTAGCAGAGGAATGCTTTAAAAGCATAAATCAAATCAGGTCTCTCCCCTGCTCAAGACTCCCCAGTCAGTGGCTCCCATCACAGTGAGAATAAAGGCCAAAGTCCTCCCCAGGCCAAGGCCCTCTGGGACCCACCTCCTTGTCCCCCTCCCCTCGCTCATTCCCTCCAGCCACAAGGCCCTACTTGAAGTTCTCTGCTATGTCTGCACATGTCTGCCTCAGGGTCTTTGCACTGGCTGTTCCCTGTGGCTGGAATACTCTTCCCCGCACGCCTGGCTCAGTTGCTAATTCACTTCAGATCTCAACGCTAACCTCAGACAGGCCTCCCCAGCCACCCCTCTAAAGTAACACTCCCACCTTTCCGCATCCGCTCCCCTGCTTTATTTTTCTTCACCGCCTGTCTTTC